ATTTGTAGCACAGTTTTTGGTACAGGTGCATCAAGTCCTGTCCCAACTGAATATTTGGTAGCTGCAGTCCTTAGTGAGATTTGAACATCTTCATTAACATCACTTTCTTATAGAAATTTTTGAGTACAAGGGTCGTACTGTAATAAACAAATATTTTATTTTGACCAAATTACATAACAAACTTATGCTTTTTAGAACAAACAAAACGGAATTTAACATCACACTTTTTTTCTTCAAAGATCTTTATCAGGCTTTCATTATAAGTAAATATTATACAAAAACCCTACCTGAAAAAATTCATAAAACTTCAAAACCTCTTCCAAATATAAAAACAATAATCATCGAAATCAGTTTGGCCTAGGTCAAACTAGTTAAGCCTAAAGCATTTAGGCCAATCTAGATTGTACTGGACTAAACTAGTATATACTGACACGCATAGGATAAATCCATTTGGCCTGAAATCGGGTTTGGCCAGTAACATATATATGTACAAATATATAAAAAATAGAAGGATTTATAATTTTATTTTATATAATTTTATTGAATTGTTTGAATTTGGAATTTTTTGGCACAAGGGCCTGTTTATTGAATTATCATACTTTTTGTCTTCACAACTTTGAAGGAAAACAATATTCTTATATTACTAAATTAATTAAATATTAATTAAAATAAATATATTTTAATTACATTCATTCAATACTGTATTTTAATTCTATTCTAGGTTTTATGTTAATACAGTTGTTGATATGAGTGATATCAAATATTTTACATACAAATTATAAGAATTATAAAAGAGTATTTGTAAAAAAAAAAAAGCAGCATCATTTTATATGATGTAAGACTTATTATTTTTTGATTTACCATTTAAAGACTTTTTTATATTTGTAATTTACAATTTTAATCATATTTTAAACCATGTAATTTTAGATTATTGTTTATTTCTATACATAGTATTTTAGTACATTACCAGTGGCATGCCATCCATGGAAGCTGTGGAAGTGCTGCTTCCCTTGTATTTTCAAAAATATAAATACATATTGTGCAATTATTTTCATATTTTAACATACTTTGAATTACTTAATGCAGTTATAATAAAATATTAATTTTATGTATTTTATTATAAATTTCTATATTACATGTGAAAAAAATAAGATTACTATTGTATATTTGAATATNAAAAAAAAAAAAAAAAAAAAAACACGAGAAAAATTCAAATGTAGTCATTTATTATAGAAGCGTGTCATAAACAAAAATATAATAATATATACAGAGTAAATTTTCTGGGAAATATTCTATTTTCGTCCTGTTCTATTAAACAATGAAAATACAGGATATTTAAAGATATTCGAGCGAATAATTTTCCACAAAAACAGGATATTCAAACGTGTATTTTTACGTCATCAATTACAAATCAATTCACTCACCAGATGGAACTAGTATAGTGCCAGCTGTAATATTATTCCTGGAATCACTGGTAGAATAAAACACCTCCCAGTGGATTACCAGTAATAAAAATAAATAAAAATAATAATAAAAATAAAATAAAATTTTACAAAGAATTAAATTTAAATATTATTATTATTATTCCGAATCTATTCAAAAACATTTTATATTAACAACAATAAAATTGTTTTATTCGAAGCATAACAGTGATATAATCAGCTACGTATATATATGTATATAATGGTTAGAGAAACGACCGATTTAAAGAACATTTATTTTCTTTAATAATAATAATAAAAAATAAAAATGAATAGAAGACAACAAATAAAAGTGGAAGCGCTTCGCTAATTATGCTACATTTTTGTTATTTATTTTCGAATTTAGTATGTTACAGTAAGGAAATAAATTTATAATTACCCTTTTGAAAATCAACAAATTTATAAAAGATTATCAATTTTATTTTAAATTATTTATTTATATTTTTTTCTTAACTGTAAGAGAAAATTGAATAAAATTTTTATTACTTGTTTTTGTAAAAAAAAAAATACTTCTGAAAGAATAATTAAATATGCAGATTAGATTTAACATGAATATTTTTTGGAATTTTTTAATAAATATATATAACATCTCTATAAACGTTTATGTGTTTATCGCATTTGTACACGTTAAAAAAATATATATTTTTCGACCTTTTCAGGAGTATTTTTTGAATGTTTTACGTATTTTTTAAAGTTTCTTTAAGTTTTTCGAAAAGTCCTCATGTTTTCTCCAAAAAAACACAGAAAAACATAGTTTATTGAAATTGGTTTATTCATTTCATTTTTATTTTTTCTTAATTTAAAATAACATTTATGTAATTTGAAAGAATTTACATATTTTTAACAGATTCTTTTTATATAAACAATAATTTTAAAAACTCTAATCCTTGTATAGGTATAGTTTTATTTACAATCTCAATTTTCTATCAACTTAATTCTTGTTGTCTTTTGAAAAAAATTATGATAGAAAAACATTTAGAAAAGGTTTTAAAAAAATAAAAAATTTCCGAAAATTCATGGATATATTCAAAAGCACAAAAAGTATTCGTGAAATCTTTTAAAATCACAAAAAGTATTTATGCAAACCCTCAAAAAAAAAAATACAAAAAAATTGACTTAAAATATGAATTAAAAAGTGTATAAGAATATTTAAAATTGTCATTTTTCTTAGAAAAAAGTAAAATAAAATGAGATTATTTGAATATTTAACTAATAGTTAAACCTTTTAATAATGACATTAAACCTAAACATAATTAATTCACAATCTAATTTTTTTTATTTTTTATTTTTTTTAGGAGAAGCGAATATGTCATAGGACTGTTTACATATGCAATTAATTTTCGAGAAAAAGGGGAGAAAATAAAAGAAAAGGGGAAGAAGATATCGAATTTTAAAGAATATTAACACAAGCCAACACATCTGCTCCCTTTACAATTCTCCGAAGATAAAAATATTTTAATAAAATAGAAATAAAGAAATCACTTCTAGGGGAAAAAAATCAAAGGTAAATAAACAAACAAACAACATAGATATTTCATGTAACTAAATTAAGTAAATTATTATTATTAAAATTTAAACATTTTAACCATATTTTACTTCATCTTTTGAAACTTGAACAAATTAACAGTCTTTTAAGGAAAAAAACACAAAGGAAACGTAAATGAAACTTACCAATAATTCAATAAGCCCTTAAATTCGTTAAAAAATACCAAAATTTCGTATTTTTGACACATCAAAGCGAATAATTCAAGTAAAAAGGACGAAACATACCATTAGCTCTTAAGCCTAACTGCAGACGATAAACAAGTTTACATGATCAGTCCTAACGCAATTTTTTTTTTTTTTTTTAAATGANAATTTTAAAATATATATATTTTTTTAATTTCAAAATCATTACAATTTCATTTTGTTTTGAAATCTTGTTAAATTCTTTACTCCGTTACGATTGATTAACATAAAAGAATCAAAGTATTTTTAATAGTTAACAATTTTGAATATTAATAAGCCAAACTTTTACATGAACCAAATACTGATTAAACTAGCAAGATTACAAATTTCAGAAGCACTCTTCAGTTTTATTGACTACTATCATCAATTATTCTGATTAATCATCATTATAATTTATTAAAAATATTTGATTACCGCTATTAGTTCATTTAAAGATTTAAAAGTATCAGTATATATTTTTAAAATTTTAATCACAATCTCAAGTTAATAATTAAACAAAGTATTATGAACTGTAAGAAAATGCAATGTCATTTCATCCAAATTGAACCGTAACAGATAAATTGTCACTAATGTCTGCTTTTTTCTATTTAATTTACACATTATAAATATATTTATTTTATTTTTTAACCTTAAAAAAAACTACGCCGACATATGCTGACTTCACACTTAAAGAACTACATATTGACCTTGCTAATATTGTTAAACAAATATATATATATAAACTATCTTTCTTAAATTCAAAAACATATATGCTGATTCCATAATAATGTTTTAAACTTAACAACATGTATGCTAACTCTACAGTGAATTGTTTTTTTTAACTGAAAAACCTGTATGCTATATTACACTGACTTTTTTTAGGCTCACAAATATGTGCTGACTATGCTGACATTTTAAATTGAAAAATGTATACACTGACTCTAGAATACATTTTTTAAGCTCAGAAACCTATACGCCGAGTTAGACCGAATTTTTATACAGTACATCTATTAATTTAACAGTATATATTCATGTATTTATATTACATTTTATACAAATGATTACTTTTAACATATACAAACTACTAGATGTTGTTTACATATATAATACATTTAAATACATTAAATCAGGCATGTTTATGACAGATTTTTAAAAATAAGTGGATACACACCTTAAAATAAATTGTAAACATGTGTAAAAGGTAAATAAACAAACAAACAACATAGATATTTCATGTAACTAAATTAAGTAAATTATTATTATTAAAATTTAAACATTTTAACCATATTTTACTTCATCTTTTGAAACTTGAACAAATTAACAGTCTTTTAAGGAAAAAAACACAAAGGAAACGTAAATGAAACTTACCAATAATTCAATAAGCCCTTAAATTCGTTAAAAAATACCAAAATTTCGTATTTTTGACACATCAAAGCGAATAATTCAAGTAAAAAGGACGAAACATACCATTAGCTCTTAAGCCTAACTGCAGACGATAAACAAGTTTACATGATCAGTCCTAACGCAATTTTTTTTTTTTTTTTTAAATTATTTAAGTATTTATTATTATTTTCTTTAACTTAAAATATTTATTTAAAATATATATCAATATATTTAATTATACATTTATTATTATTTTTTTAAACTTAAAAGATGTCTATGACACGATCGCTGTCGTGTTTCAACCGTGACAGATCGAAATTATATGAAAAAATCTAATTAAATACCGTTTTAGAATAGATTAAATTACATCTAAACGTCTTTAAACAGTTATATAATTTAATCTGTAATTTTTTTTTAATAAATTATTACCTTTAAAAGGCGAGTTAACGTCGATCCCGTAGCTAGAATGTGGTAAAGCGATGCGCTCTTACGGTCACGTTTGTATAGAATGTCATCAGAAACATCCCGGTACGTCTGACCCATTAAAAAAATATTTAAATATATATAAAAAAAAGAAACAACTTTCACTGACCCAATTCTAACTTTCTTCATTTGTTTTGTCGCAATTTGATTTCCGTTCCGTGTTTAACGCAAATAATCATCGGAACACGTTATAAAAGGTAAGCAAATACAATGAACTCGAAGAGCAAATTTCCGTTTAAAGACTGCTCGTAATAACGTTTTTTTAAACGTTAAAAATGCTTGTGAAAAATAAAATAAAAATGATCTTTTGGCATCTTTGCATCCAAGTCAACAAAAACCAAATTTAAATTAAAAAAAAAAAAAAAACACGAGAAAAATTCAAATGTAGTCATTTATTATAGAAGCGTGTCATAAACAAAAATATAATAATATATACAGAGTAAATTTTCTGGGAAATATTCTATTTTCGTCCTGTTCTATTAAACAATGAAAATACAGGATATTTAAAGATATTCGAGCGAATAATTTTCCACAAAAACAGGATATTCAAACGTGTATTTTTACGTCATCAATTACAAATCAATTCACTCACCAGATGGAACTAGTATAGTGCCAGCTGTAATATTATTCCTGGAATCACTGGTAGAATAAAACACCTCCCAGTGGATTACCAGTAATAAAAATAAATAAAAATAATAATAAAAATAAAATAAAATTTTACAAAGAATTAAATTTAAATATTATTATTATTATTCCGAATCTATTCAAAAACATTTTATATTAACAACAATAAAATTGTTTTATTCGAAGCATAACAGTGATATAATCAGCTACGTATATATATGTATATAATGGTTAGAGAAACGACCGATTTAAAGAACATTTATTTTCTTTAATAATAATAATAAAAAATAAAAATGAATAGAAGACAACAAATAAAAGTGGAAGCGCTTCGCTAATTATGCTACATTTTTGTTATTTATTTTCGAATTTAGTATGTTACAGTAAGGAAATAAATTTATAATTACCCTTTTGAAAATCAACAAATTTATAAAAGATTATCAATTTTATTTTAAATTATTTATTTATATTTTTTTCTTAACTGTAAGAGAAAATTGAATAAAATTTTTATTACTTGTTTTTGTAAAAAAAAAAATACTTCTGAAAGAATAATTAAATATGCAGATTAGATTTAACATGAATATTTTTTGGAATTTTTTAATAAATATATATAACATCTCTATAAACGTTTATGTGTTTATCGCATTTGTACACGTTAAAAAAATATATATTTTTCGACCTTTTCAGGAGTATTTTTTGAATGTTTTACGTATTTTTTAAAGTTTCTTTAAGTTTTTCGAAAAGTCCTCATGTTTTCTCCAAAAAAACACAGAAAAACATAGTTTATTGAAATTGGTTTATTCATTTCATTTTTATTTTTTCTTAATTTAAAATAACATTTATGTAATTTGAAAGAATTTACATATTTTTAACAGATTCTTTTTATATAAACAATAATTTTAAAAACTCTAATCCTTGTATAGGTATAGTTTTATTTACAATCTCAATTTTCTATCAACTTAATTCTTGTTGTCTTTTGAAAAAAATTATGATAGAAAAACATTTAGAAAAGGTTTTAAAAAAATAAAAAATTTCCGAAAATTCATGGATATATTCAAAAGCACAAAAAGTATTCGTGAAATCTTTTAAAATCACAAAAAGTATTTATGCAAACCCTCAAAAAAAAAAAATACAAAAAAATTGACTTAAAATATGAATTAAAAAGTGTATAAGAATATTTAAAATTGTCATTTTTCTTAGAAAAAAGTAAAATAAAATGAGATTATTTGAATATTTAACTAATAGTTAAACCTTTTAATAATGACATTAAACCTAAACATAATTAATTAATTCACAATCTAATTTTTTTTATTTTTTATTTTTTTTAGGAGAAGCGAATATGTCATAGGACTGTTTACATATGCAATTAATTTTCGAGAAAAAGGGGAGAAAATAAAAGAAAAGGGGAAGAAGATATCGAATTTTAAAGAATATTAACACAAGCCAACACATCTGCTCCCTTTACAATTCTCCGAAGATAAAAATATTTTAATAAAATAGAAATAAAGAAATCACTTCTAGGGGAAAAAAATCAATCGATATTTTTCCCGGTTGTTCCCTTTTATTTTTTATTTTATTTTATTTTATTTAAAATTTTTTTTCCTTCAATTTTGCGACAGAAAGAACAAATCTCGTTTTGTTTCTTCCACCGAGACTCGCCTGACACCAGCAAAATAAATGCAAATTCCTTACTTTTTTTTCTAAATAACAAGATTTGAAAGGAAAGGAAAAACGGGAATGCAGTTTTTGGGGAATACAACCAGGAAACAACGAACGACGGTTAATGTAACGTCGAAAAAAAAATCATTATCATTCATATATAAAAATACAGTATGGTTCGTAGCGCTCCTCGAATCTAATACCGTACAAATCGGTACAATTTGCACATTTCTACAAAGCATGCGATTTAAGATTCCGGCCTTCGGCCCTTACTTTTTATTAAATTCGTTCTGAAAAAAGTTTTTTTTTTTTTTTTTTACAAACTACTATGACATTTACTTCTCTCGCTCTCTGCTAGAGGCAGCACAATAGACATCAATTATCTGTCTTCGTAATAATATATTCTTAAGACCAATGCCGTAACTAGGCAGGTGCAACAGGTGTACCCGCACAGGGCCCACTTGAAAACGGGGCCCAAAATGCTTGTATTTATTTTATTATTTTCCCAAACCTAATTAATTAAGGGGCCTAAACGCAAAATCTTGCACAGGCCACAGGAATGGTTAGTTATTACACCGCGTAAGACCTATACGGAGCGTTGACTAACCGAAATCGACTTTGGAAAGTACTAATTCCAGAAATTATAAAGTTTTTACGTAATAGCGATCGTCGACCGTCTTCCTCTTGTCAGCTGTCGAGCGATCTCGTTAGGCTTTATTTACTATGGTAAATATAGCAAAGCACGATTAACAAGTCGCGACAATCAGATTCGATCACCAAGCCGGGGATTTAGCAATATCAAAAAGAGAAAAATAATCTACGTGAAACAAAGTAAAATAAAAGCGACTTCTTAATAAGTTCTATGCATAGGCTGTACTTTATAGTTATTCGAAATTTTCCCATCCCGATTATTTCGAGATATTTGATGATACGCTGTGCTTTTAACAATATTCCGGTCAGTATTTTTCATTAATAAGTTCTTAGTCGTTACAGGAAAACATAAAATGCTGGAAAATCAGATTAAAAGTCATTAACGGTGATATCTGATCTTATCTTTACTTACTGCAGTTAATGCCAACGCTGTGAGCGCTCGTCGTAGAGCTGCCAATTCTTTTGAAATTTGGCAAAAATATTTAGATTCTCGGACTCCTAAATCGAGAGCTATTCTTCTTCTATTTACCTTTTATCTTTATATTTGTCTTTATTATAGGATACTGTGGTGATTTTTTAAGAATCCAAAACAAAAACAAAGCAATACAATACAGTTAATAATTACAAAACATCAGACAATATACAATTACTTACAAATAATTACAATTTTCAGTCACATAACTGTAAGCAATATACCAAAATTATAATCATATTATCTCAAATGCTCTTACAACATAACTAATTACAATAAAACCATTTAATATGTTATATAAGTATATCCATTAAACCATTTTATACATTATATAACCTTTCAGCAGTGTTGTGCAGAATCTAAGTTATAGTGTTATTCCGGATGCAGACATACATATTATCAAAATTAGTCCTGTGTATTCTGAAACCTAGTCGTGACGATAAAAACACAAAATTAGTCCTGTTATAATGGACTTTAAAAATATATAATTTTGAAGTTATGTTGTTAACTGAATTATGTTCTTGTATATGAGGCGCATGCACAATATATAGATAGCAATACGGAGCGTAAACACGTGATATAGATAGCAATTGATAAATAACGATAGCCTCGTAAGAAGTCATATTCGGCGAGATCGAACCTACATCCAAACAGTTAAATAGCATTTAAGTTAAGGAATTACATAATTTAGAAAGGTTGCGGCCCACGTTTTCATCGCGATAATGTGTACGTTGGTTGTTCAGCGCCGCCTTCCTGTAAATAAGCCTAGAAGTTTGACAATGGCGTTTGGAACTTCAGTGGAATCATGCTCGACGTACCAAACGCCATTGTCAAACTTCTAGGCTTACGGAAGGTGGCGCTGAACATCCAACGTACACGTTTTCGCGATGAAAACGTCGGCAGCAACTTCTCTAATATCTAAAGAAACAAAACGTTGTAAGAAACGTGTTGAACATAAACGAATCTGGTCCTTTGATATAACATTACTAAATCAGTTAAGTGGGCAGTTAAATTATTTACGGCGAATTCTTCACAAACAAATAAATCGTAAACGATATTTAAAAACCGGAAGAAATTTTATAATAATAATAACAATTCACAAATCAATTTAACGTCGTTCTGGTACAAGATTTCGAAAATCATCATCACAAAGCAGAAAAAGGCGAATTCCATCATTAATTAATAATAACGACGTATGCAAATAGAAATTATTAGTAAATATTTATTTTAACATAATCTAAATATTAATTATATTTTACGACACTAATTAATGTAATTTAATTTTCCGCTTTTCTAATTCCCTATTCCAGAAATAAATGAGTAAACTACTTCGTAGTAGCATAACCTTTAATGAATTTCTAAATATAAATTCTGTGGCAAAATTCTAAATCATTTTTATTAAAAACAAATAACAATTACACGAAGTTCATTCGATTTTTTGAAATTTTATAGATTTTAATAAGTAAAAATCATGTGTTTAGTCATTTTCCAGTAGGTGATCCGTGCTTTTCCATGCTTCAACCTTCCACATTGCCATTCTGGGGAATCCAGAGTCGAATCCAGGATAACTCCAGTAATTTATCGGGATCTATCCGTTCAGGATGCCATTCAGATGCCCCGTTGTGGGCCCGAGAAAAGACCGTCTTAGTGTCACGGGTGGAGTGCACAAAACAAACTTCTACAAGATCAATTCTTTTTCGTAAATATATTCAATTATTGTTGAATTTTTACATTTTAAAGTTGATTATTTAATGAAATTACATGCATTTCTTTCCAAAGAACGTGCTCTCGACACTTATTGCAAGTTCTTCGAATTGATACAGAAGGAGAGAAGAACTTA